CCAGCCCATGCACGTGGAGATGGGTGGCCTTTAAAATATCTCTGGCTAATATAACACTGTTTATTTTCAGGTACAAACTGCACTAAATATAGTTTTTAACCTCTCCCCAATCCCTAACCTGTCCTTAACACACCAAGTAGGAGGACCCAGGGAAGTGCCTTAGGTGTGATGTCAGGAAAAGACTGGAGAGTTTGCACAGTGTGGGACTGGCCAAGGCAAATGTGGGGAAATGTACTGTGTAGCTGGGAGTGCCTCTTACTTACTGCCATTTTACATCATTCTCCCTTTGGCAATAGCACTACTTTAGGTTGCCTGCAAAACACAAACAGAAAATAGATGTGATTTAGGATTTGCATGTAAATCAGCTGACAGGAGTAGAAAAACATGAAGAAGCTTGCACACTCCTGCTCTAAATAGAAATCACACCATATAGTTTGTGTGTTGAGAAAGAATTCCTGTAAGAAGCTAAACACATGATGGGTACTTCTCTACTGGCTTGAATGGGGTGTGAGAACATTAGGCAACTAGGAGGGTTGGTTCTTTGTGTGTGAAAACGTTTATTTTTTATTTGCCCTGTGCACAGAAGTCCTGTTGCTGTCCTGAGAGAAAGAGCAAGAATGGAGGTCTCAAGCTCCATATTGTTATCCTCTTTTTATTCATATGGAAGCTGAATTATTATTCATGAAATAAAACAAGAAATTGTATGGTCAGAGAAGGCCTTTGTGATGGCCTTGTCTGATCGTCAGTACATAGATGACATAAGAATTCCCCCAATTATTTTCTTCTTGCACATTTAAAAAAAAAAAGTCTTCTTGTCTGATTTTGTTCACCTTCTAGCTATTGGCTCTTGCTTTACATTTGCCAAACTGAATAAATCTCTACTATCAAATGCCTCCTCGCCTTTGTACTTCTAGACTGACCGTCCAAACCCACTCTCTACTTTCTTTTTGCAACAAGCAGGGTGGCTCTTTCCCGTCTTTCACCACAGAACATAAGAAATGTTCTTAAAAGTCTTTTTTTTATGTATATGTTGGTTTTCTGAAACCATTTTTATACTGTTGGCATTGTAATACAACACAGCATACCAGTAACTGTCACCTCAGCGTCAGGTATAACAGGAGAACGGGAGAACTTATCTCTTCCCACACTCTTGATCACTGTTAGCCTCAATGGTTATTAGGTCACTAAATTTTGGCTATGATCTGCAGGTTGCCAGTGCCTGGCTTTCCCTGCTAGCCAGGACAGAAGTTCCCAGCCCACAAGCAGATCCATTGTCATCTGGTTAACAACATTGATACACAGGTAGCAGTCCCTGGACTCCAGAAACAACGTCATTTTTCACTGAGTGGCCTCACCTTCTCTCTACCTACCAGTTGAAGACCCTGTGTGACAACAGAGCCTCAGGTCAGTCCAGAGGTTTTCCCCCTAGCCATCAACAGGCTGCAGCTACATATTCCTTCAATCAAAGTGTAAATTTCAAAGAAATCAGTAGGGTCAACAGAAGAAAAAGTTGTTAATGGAAATATGACATAAATCAGGGAAGGTGCCATTTGGGTGGGTCAAGGGAAGGTAGGTATCCAAAGGTAGTATGAGAGCAAGATGGAAAGTCCTACACTTTGGCCACAATAATCCCACGAAGTACTACAGGCTGGGGGCAGAGTGGCTGGAAAGGTGCCCAGTAGAAAAGGACTTGGGGGTGCCGGTCAACAGGAAGCTGAACATGAGCCAGCAGTATGCCCAGGTGGCCAAGAAGGCCAATGGCACCTTGGGCTGTATCAAGAATAGTGTGGCCAGCAGGACCAGGGCAGTGATCATCCTCTTGTACTCGACACTGGTGAGGCCACACCTCAAGTACTGCATTTGATTCTGAGCCCCACACTTCAAAAAAGACATTGAGGTGCTGGAGCATGTCCAAAGAAGGACAACAAGGCTCATGGAAAGACTAGAGTACATGCCTTATGAGGAACTGAGTGAGCTGGGTTTGTTTAGTCTGGAGGAGAGGACGCTCAGGGGGGACCTCATCGCTCTCTACAACTACCTGTGAAAGGAGGTTGTAGTGAGGTGGGGATCAGACTCTTCTACAGTGCCTGCAGTGAGAGGACATAAGGAAATGGCCTTAAAATGAGACAGGGGAGATTCAGATTAGATATTATAAAAAATGTTTTCACTGTTAAGGTGGTCAGGCTTTTTTTCACTGTTAGGTTGCCCAGGGAGGTGGTGGAGTCACCATCCCTGGATGGTGATATGGTTTAGTGGTTTAGGGGTTACAGTGGTAGTGCTGGTTGATGATTGAACTTGATGATCTTGTAGGTCTGTTCCAACCTCATGATTCTGTGATTCCATGGTTCTCTAATCCAGCCTTAAGAAAAGTCAGAAATCTGGCTTACTCTAAGGACACGATGTTGATGGAGGATCTCCATCAGTATCATGTTTGCCAGTGTGTAAAAAAATACTCCTGAGGTTTTATCAGAATTTTTTAAAGTAAGGCCTAAAATATCTGAGACCAAATTCATCTGCTGTCATTCATTCTGGTCTTCCAATCCACAGTTAAGAGAGAGTCTCTTGCTTATGCAGTTTACAATCCAAGTAGATAAACAAGGCAAAGGCATCAAAGAGAGCAGAGGTGCAAAGTGGTTTGACCAGAGTTTGCTTGTCTTCCAGGTTTGGTCACACATTTCCTCTTCAGTCCCATCTCGACAAGCTACATTACCTGCTGCTGGCCATGACCTATCCATATTATCACAAACCCCTGCCATCCAGGTGTGCTTCTTTACATCTAGTGTGCGCCTTCCACAGTCTTTCCTGAGCAAAAACCAAGCTCAGGTGGTAGATCATTGCTAACTTGGCTGATGCTGACAGAGACCAGCTAATAAACATCCAAAAAGCAGCTCTGGCAACAGCTCTGGCAGATGGTAGACAGCAAACAGACAGGGTTGGGGTGAAGCTCCTCATGTGCACAGCCAGGTCAGCTGCAGTCTGGTAGTTCAGTCAGCATGCTCTGTGGAAAAGCATTAACTCGAGTCTCTTGGACTTATCCTGGCTACAGCTTGTGCTACCTGCATAAATCCCTGGCGTAGACAGGGAATGGGGATAGCTCCCTTGGAAAAAAAGTGAATGAGAGCTTCAGCAACCCAGTCAGGCAGTGATGAATCTGGTAGAATATTAGCGGATGAAGGATATCAAAAGAAAGGAGTTTGTCACAAATATGCAAAACTGGACAGAAGAAGATGGAAGACATGGGTCATTGACTTACACTTTACTTCCTGACATGGTGATCACCACTGAAGTTATGGCAATGTTATTGGTGATTTTGCTAAACAGGGTCGGGCCCTTTGGCTGCAGGGAAGGATCTCACCGCAGGACAGTGAGAGATCATCCATTGGCCTCATTCTCCTGTGAACCCCAACCCTGTGTTCATGTCTTCTCATTTAAATAATAAAACATCTCCACACTGTACAGTGTGTGCTTAAACCAAGTCTCTTGTGCGTGGTAAGATGTCACGAGAGTCTAACTAGCGAAGTTGTGAAGGATGGGCAACCTCCAAAGGCAGCAAAGGTGAGATGGCCGGTGACTTCTCTCCTTGCCACCACTTGCATCAAGAGAACAAGGAACATGTTGAAAGGGCCGATGTAGCATATGGAGGGAGTTCTTACTCTTAATTTCTTGAGCAAATTTGTGCATGGCAGCACACTCAACATAAAGGCAGCACTGTCAATTTCGAGCATCAAAGCATCACGCCTTCCAAAACCCCGAGAGTGGCTTAAAGATCCTGAGACTTCTTAAAACCAACAAATGTCAATTTCCTTTTATTTTCCTTTGGGTTTTGGAGCCTTTTGGGGAGAATTTTCTTCCTCTTTGTTGTAAAAGTAAGGTTTACCTTCTGCTCTGAATGCACACGAAGGGCCTTATGCACTCCCTTGATTCCAGGTTCTGGGTCTTTAATGGAAACACCAAAAGTCATTAAGATGTGCAATTAAATCACAACCATGGCTAACACAGCAAATATAAAGGCAAACCCTGCCCTAGAGAACAAAGACTCATTCATTCTGCTTAAATTGGTCTTGAGACTTACTTGCTGCTTCTTTTTTTTTTTCTTTTCCCCCCCGTCTGTATTTCTTCAGAAGGAGGGGGAACTTTCTTGGCTTATGCCACATCCTGGATAGTCAGAAAAGCCTGTGCTCAGCGGCCTGAGTCTGTCTTGCCTCCTGTCTGCCAACCCTCTAGAAAAGTGAGGTTACAGGCAAACATCAGCAATGAGTGAGCAATAATAAAGAGCCTTGATAACTGAGGTAAAGTGACCATTATGCAACTACGAATGATAGGTAGAAAAATAGGAGCCGGAAATGTTGAAAGGCAGCTGAGGTTACATTCCTCATTGGAAATAAAAGGTGAAGGAAGATCAGTTGGCAGCAAGCGCTCTTGCTGCGTATATATAGAGGGATTTGCCAGCAAAGGATATTAATGATCTGAGAGTGAATTGCAAGTCCACAAGGGAAATCTGAACTGAAAATGGAAAAGACAGAAAGCTAGGCAGGGGGATTTGTATCGGGTTAAAATGTCAACATTTGGAGATGGATGAATCACTGGAGCTCAGACTAGGAGGAACAAAAAAACCCACCCTCTCAACAAAGAAACCAAAGGAAACAGCAAAACATAATACCAGTGTCTCCTTTTGTACCAAAATTAAAGCTCTGCCAGCCTGACCTTTTTTTTGGTTGGTCATATTTGTGCAACAGGATTGTCTCAGAGGTGAAAAGTGGTGGTCTACAGAAGGGGACAGATTGCCTCTAACAACTCTCAAAAACTGGGTTTGCTCCTTTTCCCCACCCCCCTCTTTTTTAAACAGTCAAGAGACACCTCTGTGGTATTCAGTAAGCTCTACCTGACCAAATCTTTGTTACCAGATGAAGGGCATTCGGAAGCTAATCCATCTAAAGGGATCATTGGCCAGGAAAAAGGAAAGGCCACAGTGCAATGTTTGGGGATTTTATTTTTTGGAGACCACAGTTTGTATTGGACTGCTCTGTTCTATAATCCTATCTCTGTTTCTGTCAAAAATATATTACAAGATGTCAAAAACATCTCCTATATTTTTCACTCAGCGGACTTCATTTTAAACATGAGGACTACAAATCTGAAATTTTTGAAACTAAGTAAGTTCTGTGCTAGTGCTGCAATTTACAGGATGGGTTGGGACTTTGATTTCATTTTTCTGTTCCTTTTTAGGAATCAGTTGGGCTTCAGGCATTTTCAGGGCTATTTATTCCTGTTAATCCCTAGAAACTGGCTGAGAGCCTTGGATTTGTCTTCCTCTCTCTGAAATGAAGCATGGTCCACTCGGGTCCTGTAGCTTGTGAATGAAAATAATGGCAGAGCATGAGGCAGGTGAGGGGCTGAGAGGAGGACAGGGAGGTCTGTGCTCCCCTCTCCACTCTGCCCCAGCATGGGGCAGGTCACAGAAGAACCTCTCCTGAAGAGATGTTCAAGTGTCAGTCCAAGGGACCACATTAAACTGGCACAACATTCCTTTCTCTTTCAAACTGCAGGATTTTTCTATCAAATGGGAATTTTATCAGTGAGATGTGATTTTTGGCTACTCTAAGCTTAATTTATTAACAGCTTAATCAAAACTTTCAGGCAATTAGCCAAACTTGTTACTTTGTATGGCCAAACTAGAAATTAGTCCTTGTTTCATTGAAGAAAGAGAATCCTTGAAAGTTCCCGAGGATGACTTGGTTTTAGATATCTGAGAAATGCAGGTCCACCAAAATCTATTCACCCACCCTGGTTTCACTCACTCTTTTTCCACTTCTAGATGTAAAATACGCTGAAGTGTGTGAAAAATGTTTACATGCAGTTCCCACATTTTCCCAAAGTCCAGCCTGTATTTCAGGGGAATTTGTGAGCTAACTTTTCCCCAAAGCCATCTAGCCTTCACTGTATAAGGTAAAAGAAAGAGTCACGCTACTTCAGGGTCTCACAATGTGGTGTTATCGTTGTTGATTTTCACATTAACTGGAAACTGCTCAAATCTTCCTTAATGTTACCTTTTTGGTGACACTTTCCCTTAAATCCTGGTGGCCTCCCATAAGTATTGCCTCATGAGTTTTTCCTGACATTTTTTCTAAAGTTGTGAATAAATGTTCTACAGCATCAGGATTTGCAGAGTTTAAAACAAAACTAAACCACCGGCACAAGTAATAATAGTGTTCCGAAATTTTCCTGTGTGTTTTTGTTGTGTTTAAGCAAAAAGGTCGATTAGAAAAACACCTAATCCAGCTAGGATTGAACGTGACCATTCCCTTGTTCTTACAAGAAAGGCTTAAGACATTAAGAAGTCAAATCTGTGATGAAGGCTCCCGACTTTCATCACTTAGCTCAGTGAATTTTCAATTAAGTCTCCCTGGACTAAAGCAACTGCCCTGCTTGCTTCTATTTCATGACATAAAGTTAGCACCCACAAATTTTCCAGGAGTCCCAACAAGACTGGCTCATTTCTGGAGCATTTCTTTCATCAGGACATGAGAAAGAACAGAATATTTGTGAAGGATGAGATTCAAGAACAGCACAATGTATTTATTAACTGGCAACTACAGCAGAAGGCCAGAGGAGTGAGCAGGGAGAGGAGCTGGGCACATGCTCTGAGGAAATTCACCTCTCCAATATTGCAGTGAATACCTCTGACACTGCTCTTCTTTCTTTCTTTTTGTTTTTTTTGTTGTTGTTGTTGTTGTTTAATCTGACTTGTAAAGAAGAACTGGATTTTCACTGGTCTAGAAACTGCCATTGACTAGTTAAAATGCACCCTGGGTCAACAGAGAGCAAAGCTCAGATGCATACAGGCTTTGAGGTAGCTCATTTGAAATGATGTATCTGTGTCCGCCTGCAGACCTGGCTTCCAGGTTGTGCAAGCCAGACATGGGAGTTGAGGGGCAGGGGCTGCTGCTTCTAATCCCAGGGGTCAAACATCTCCTACCAGAAGGTGAAGCCACACAGCTGAACTTCACAGTGCACGAGAAGCCACAGGGCACAGCCGGAAGAAGGCCAGGTAGGTAAACACTGGAAAACCATGCTCCTGCACTTGGAGTGAGAGGTATAAAGGCAGGAGCTTTTGGGAAACACCTAATGTGAAAGGGTCAGGGGGGCTGCCACGTCCAACCAGGGCTGGTTCTTGACTTGTGGTGACACTGGCTGAGTCACTGCTGGCAAATAGTGTCCCAAGGAAGTCACTGAGACTGCTTCATGTGAGTAATCGCTTTCTGGCGCAGACCTCCCAGCCTGTCTCTCCCGTGCTCTTGGCAATGGTGCTTAGAATGAAAACAAATAAATAAACCCAAAAAACCTACCTCCCTCAAACCCCCAGCAAGTGTTTTCCAACAAGTTCAAAACCTTTAACAAAACATTTGGAACCTATTTTCAGAAAAAGTTCCAAAGGTTTTGCAAAGCCCAGATTTGTCTAGACTCTCCCATCCTCGGCACAGGGAAACAGGGTGAATGGATAGGGTGTGATATGGATTTTTTTGAAAGTTTGTTTGGATTTCAGGAAGTGAACAAGATAAGCCAAATGGCCCTTTCCTGCTTTTGCTCTTTTAATACTTTTTTTCTCTCACTAAGTCTTGACAAGAAGCGTTTGAACTAAAGGATCTCAGATGAGTTTGTTGAGTTCCCCCCACCCCTCACCTCTCTGCTAAAAACCCACCCACACCTGTGACTGGAAGATAGCACCAAATCAGTCTTTACAATTTGAACCCTTGGGCACATATGAGAGCTGTTTCCTTTGTCATTTCCACAACATAGAAAATTGTTTTCCTTCTTCTTCCATCTTGTTCAAAACTTGCAAGGAGGCAGTGAGGAATAATCCCCTGGGGGACTTCAGGATGCACCAGAGGCATGAAGGGTTTGATCCACAGAGGAAGAAAAGGAATATTCCCCATTGCATTAAGAGCTGCAGGTGTTGATGTGCGAAGGAGCCTTTTGATGTCACATCAGCTTTGCTGCCAGGAAAGCCTGAGCAAAGACAAGTTGGAGAAGTGGATCTCCAGCCCAGCCATCCCATGCCTGATGAAGAGATCTGCGTAATGACAAGAAATCACTTCTCCTCTGTACAGGTTTTTCCCTAAGCCACTCACTGGCTTGGCATATGATCTGGTGAAAGAAACTTCATGATCCCTCCATTTTTACATAGTTTGATGTATCCATGAGCGCAAAGGTGCCTAACCTGAACACAGTCCTTCATGTCGTAAGTTGGACACACCTCTGAATTTTAACTGTAAGAAATCTGGATTTCATACTGATGCATTTATATCCACAAATTGGTTTCTGTGAGCACCTCCATCTAGAATAAAACATTTTTAAAAAAGAGAAAATAATCTATCCCAGTATAAATTAATTGTCTTTCGCAACCACACAACTCCAGCACTACCATGTCACTCTCCTTTCCTCCTAGGTTCCTGGCCTTGCTCAGTACATAAATTAAAAAAAAAAAAAAATTGCCTACCCTGCTTTGTAGCAGAGTTTTAATATTTGATCAGAAAAACCTTTGTAATCCTGAATATTATTGTAACTTCGAGGCTGGGGAAATAAATTCTGCTCCTCTGCTGGAACATACTGACCTTCCTACCCTATTGTTTATTTGTACGATGTGAACTAATTTCTTATTTGAAATCTACACCACCTAAAAGCATTTCCTAGAACTATATTCTAATGTAGCTTGGTAAACTGACTCTAGAAGTTGCTTGGTGGTTTCTTGGTATTTAAAAGTCATTTACTATAGTAGAGACTTTTCCACCAGCAGATAACAGGACAACGGAGAAGGACCACACTAGGCAGGATATTAATGCAGCTAAAGGAATGTAAAGGGTTAATTCACCAAATAGATAACCTTTGGAAAGATACACAGTAAATGCTCAGAACATTTTGAAATCTGTAGCAGCTAAGTGAGCAACTTGTCACACAGGATCTATAATGACAAGACATTGTTTTGAGGCAGAATTTCTTTTTGCAATATCAGGAAATCTGTACTGTTCCTGTAAGAGTTTCTGAAAATTTATTTTTTTTTTTGTTGCGGGTTACTAAGTTGTTTGCAGATGGTGGTCCTTTCTTTGAAGATACATCCATGTTGTGAAAATGTAAGTATTGAAAAAATCTGAATAAAATACACATAGCAGTACAAACATCTGCCCTTCCAAGTGGCTTCATCTCAGCCACTTAAAGATCTCTACATGAGATCTTTAAAATGGAGAAGAGGCAGTTTATTTTCCAAATTTCTTAAGTTCTTACCCTTTTTGATAAGGCTGTCAACAGCGTTATCTAGGCTCCAACATGACATAGCTTTGGAGATGTCTGAATACTTTTCCGTAATCGTCGCTGTTGACCTAATACTTTTCTTCTAACCTGTCCCTAATTCACAAGGCTTACTGGCTCTGAAAAACAGAACTAATTCTGTGCCATAAGGTTGCTGTTAATTCAAGAAACAGCAATATGAAATCATTCTAAGCCTTCCAGGTAAAACGTGTGCTAGTCATGTTTTTCTCATAGTGCCAGGTTATGCCAATCATGTGTCAGGATATGTGAATGTGCGTGTGTGCATAACTGTGTGTCTGTCTGATGCTTGTTCCTCTTCACCAGGAGGTCTCCCAAAATAGAACTGCTGTCAAATTATAAAGCCGTGACCTCCCCAGTAGTCCAGTCTTTTGCAGACTCAAACTGCATTGGTATAAAGCCCTTCCCTACACAGTGATTTCAAACAAGAGTAGGTGTGTTTCATCACTTGTTCTGCTGCAGATGCTCTTTTTGCTTATTTTCTCATTTTGTTGCTTTCAACTATTCATTTGTCTCCCTGTGGGCAGAGATATGAGACACTAATGTACAAAAACTGTAAATAGCCTCACTTTTAGGACATCTGGAACAATGACAGAGATATTGTCATTTGGGGTTGTCTAAAGAAAGAGACCCCCAAAGAAATTTCCACCAAAGAGTCACTATTGCTCCAACCAGCTTATTATTGTGTATTTTGGGCTGCCCAATTGCTAGAGCATAGGCTTGGATTAAAATTTCAAAAGAGAAGTGCTTAAATTGCAAGCACAGGACACTACAAAAGCATACTCCTTATACCTTTACATGTCTCATTCTAAGTGCCAGATTTGATCAGTACCTGTTGCAAAGAGAATTCTTCTTTAAAAATTTGACTGCTCCAATTGTACCTAAAACATCTGAGGGGCCAAGGACGCTCTTTTCCGTGTGGGTGGCTGTACAAAACTCAAACCCATCTGGCAGGCAGTTAGACTACAAGTCTCAATCTGTCATGCCTAATTTCACCATTTATGGCTGCAATACATTATGCTTGGAGAGGGAGTATCAGCGGCATGCCATGCATTAATCCAAAGGCTGCATTCCTCAACAGACTAAATAGCCTTTGCTTCTGATAAGTGATTGCATTTCTGGTGCATGAATGGTGCTGCAAAGCACATAATATTGTTAATAGCTGGAAAAGAGTACAGCATGAGAAAGTCCCTTTCCAGACTCACTTCCTCAGGATGTTGTTTGGACTTAGAAATATCTGTGGGCTGCAAAGCTTCCACCCACATTTCTAACTTCAGTCTTTCCTGGATGCTTGGGTTCCCTTAGGACCAACATATCATGGTATACCAAAAAATATTATATATAGCTTTGCCCTCTAGATCAGCAGTGCCCTCTGGAAGAACTCTTGGCTTTACTGGCAGCAGCAAACACACGTTATCCAAAGTTGCAAGACCAGCAGAAATGAGAAGCTTTTCTCTTTGACAGCAGCTGTAGCTGTCTGGTCTAAAATACCTCAGATTAGAATGACAGTTTACCACAAAATATCCCAATCCTGCCAAAGCAGCTTGCCCAAAACATGCCCTTTCTCTCCTTACCTTCCAATCTTGGCAGCAAGTGAATGCTTGTTTTCCCAGTCTATCGCATAAGAAGCTCTTAAGAAATGTTCCTTCCTCAGTAATTTCTGCTAACTCTGTAACAAAAGGTTAAAATGCAAGAGGACAAAACTACAGAAAACTATTTATCAAGGGAACAGGGAAAATGATGTATCTACAACACAGAAGCAACAGAGAGCAGTCTATAACCAAAGACTGAAGCCAAATCTGCTTTTGTATCTGAGATAATCACCAAACTATTTAGCAGAACAGAATGCTATATTTTATGGCACTCTATGAAAACTCTTACTTAATGGTCTGGGGTGACAGTAAAAGAAAAGGCATGTTTCTAAGAACTTGGACAGCACAATTTACTCTGAGAAGTAAGACATGGCTTTGTACTCTAAAAGCTGAAATAAATGTGGAATTAAGTGTATTGATGAACAAAAACAAAGTTAATTTGCTAGCTTCACTTTTAGATCTAAAAATATCAAGCTAAGCTCTTGCTGGCTTCAGAGACATTATTAATAATAAAGATTCTGAAAATCAAATTCTGCACTCCATTTTCTGCTACATCCTCCAGTTCCAGATATAACTGAAGGAGCAGTTTGGTCTTTTCGACTGAACTTAGAAATTCTCTTGGTGATGTAGGAACCAGAAGACACCATAGGTCACTCTTCTGGAGGTGCACTATGTCTCAGAAATATTATGAGGAACAGTAGTTACGAATTATTGATGAGACATTTAGATTAATTCTCCATGTCTGAGCAGCATAACACGCTGTTACTGCTCATCCACAATCTCATTTCCCAGGATTCTGACTGTATTGCCTCAGCAAACCTGTATATTTTGGTGTTGTTTTATGTATATATTTGAAATAGGTACCCTCTTCAAGAATCATGTGCATGTATGAAGTCGGGGACAAAAACCCAGTTTCTGTGTTTCCTCCCATGTCTTGCTGCAAAGGAGTGTAATTCCATCTGGAGAGCACAAATGTACTCATTGATACCACTGTGTCTTCTGACTTGATGGATTGGTCCTGAAGGTTGTTCTCAATGTTTGCTTGATCCCTTTTTTCACTGATTGTAGTCTCTGGGGCCATGTTCCAGGGAGTTTGGCCTAGGCAGCAGTTCTTTAGAGTCTGGCTAAGTAGATGAGGGGTAAAATGTGAAGTCTCAGTTCTTCTCCTGCTGGTGTAGTCATCTTGCTCCGAAGATATCACGGCTAGATTAGAGGAAAATAAGGATTCTGAGACTGGAACTCACAGCTGGTGATCAGCTCAGGGAAACCATGAACTTTTCCTGCTTGCTGTGAGCTACCTAGCTTACTAGGGACAGTGGACATGAAAGCTATTTAGGAGCAACATTACAAGTAAAACACAATCCCTTGTATTTCAATTTGGTGAAGTTCACTTAGGTTAGCTTTTCTCACGTGGATGTTTGGTTGTCATTTTGCATTAATTTGTGAAATGATGTAATAAACCACCTCAACTCTGTGAATTTTAAGTATTAAAGAGGTCAAAATCTATTACCCACTGTGGTCCAAAAATGAAAATGAGATTTTCCCCTTTAGCATCACTTGAGCATTTGGCTGCCTTTATAACACACTAGTCACATGGCTGGGCTTCACGAAGGAAGATTTGGGAAAGGCTCTATCCACATTTGTTACAAGCACGTTGGTGGCTAATAAGGCCAATACGAGATAGACATGTCCGATTACAAAAGGCACAGCAGAAAGACTCCTTA